AGAGACAGTAAGAAATAAAATCAGAAAACTTAACTGTGTGAGTTACTTTGCCAAGATTGACTTCCATTCCCAATCTAGTAATGCTTCCATTTTCAGAGACCACAGGTGCATTTTAGCTAGAGCTGTTAGTTGTAACTGATGGGGGAGCAAGTCTAGTGAGTTTACTACATCTTGATCCGCTCTGAAAGTCCTAATTTTTTCTCACTTATTTTTAAGCATTTTCCTATATCATTAAAACTCTTAACACCATTTTATGATTTCATTATGTTCTATTATGTGTATTTTAATTATCCTTCCATCCTCTTAAAAGCTATTTTTTATTTATATCTGTTACTATTACAAATACCACTGTGATATATAAATTTGCATGTAGTTTTCTGACTATAGATTTCTAGATACAGAATTACTAGTTCAAGGATTATGATAAGGCTCTTAAGGCATATTGCCAAATTGCTTTTCAGAAAGGCTTTACTAAAAATAAAGCATTACCTGCAACTTTTGCCAATTTATATAGGAAAACTATCATTTAAAATTTGGGGTCACAATTGAGCAGAAATGTTTATTTTTTATGCTTATATATATTTTTTATTTTGTAAAACTATTTTTCCATGTCCATTACCCATTTATTAGAATCATAGTTTTATAATAAATTTGCATGAGTTATAAATACATAAAGAAGAAATTATATGTGTATCTGCCTATTAGTGCAAAAGAAAAACACCAGAACCAACCAGAAACTAATGAGATTGTTTACTTACAAGGGTAAGAGGGAACAAAGTAGGAAAAACAAAGGAATGAGAATGGTGTAGAAGAGTTAGAGGGACCGACATTTCTCTGATTATACATTTTTATATAGTTCTGTCATGTAGAACCATGTGAATGTTTTACAAACCTATAAAATTAAAAAAAATAGATGGAAGGTCAAAAATAAAACAGAAACAAATGAACCCGACTATATTACAAATAAACAACATAACCACTCTGAAGAGAGGAATGGAAAAAAAAGGAACCAACCTAATTAACTTTGGAAAACAATATTTTAATTGAATATCCAAAGGCTAAAGACAAAAGAAATATATACTGGTATTTACGCTAATTAGCAGGCCTGTTTTTTACAAAAATATGGGTTAGCAGTTTTCAAACTATGTTACGCATATCTGAAGTCTGAGCAAATAAATAAATATTGTGGACATAAAATCCAGTTTTCTCACTGTTGGAGAAAGGAGTTACAAATAAGGAAAGAGGGGAAGTTAGAATGAACCCTGTGGTGTTGGACTGGATTTGGAAGTATCGGCATGAACTCGTGTGTTTTTTAAAAATATATATACAGATATAGATACAAGTATACAGATAGATATAGAAATACACATATAGTTGTATACACAAACATGTATTTTATCATTTTGTTAGCTAAGAGAACCTAGAAGCAATGATACCCAGTACCAGTGAGCAGATCTTGCACCTAGATCCTCATTTCTAAATACCATTCTCCAACAAAGGAATCAGGGCTTTTGGGAGAAATGATTCTAGGACTAGGGTGGAGAAATCACATGAGAGACATCTGTGCCAGAACATCATGTGTGAGAAGGTAAGGAAGTGCTAAAAAAATGAAGAGGTCTGTATTAGTTTTCTATTTCTACATAATAAATTTCCACAAACTTAGCAGCTTAAAAAAAACAACAACAATTAACTCACAGTTCTGTAGGTCAGAAACCCAGCTTGACATCCAAGGTTCTGTTCAGAATATCACAAAGCTTAAATTAAGGTGCCAGGCTTGTCAGGCTGTGTTTCTTCTGAAGGCTCTGGGGAAGAATCCACTTCCAAGTTCGTTCAGTTGTTGGCTGGGTTGAGATCCTTGAGGTTGTAGGACTGAGGTCCTTGTTTGCTTGCTAGTTGACTGTTGGGACTCACTCTCAGCCTCTGGAGGCTGCTCTCAGGTTCTTGTCATATGGCTGTGACAAGAGCCAGGAGCCAGAATCACTCTCATAATGATCCCTCCCATACTTTGCACCTCCTCTGACTGCCTCTGTCTCTGACCTCTCACACATACTTAAAGGGCTCATGTAATTAGGTCAGGCCCACCTGAATCATCTATCTTAACATCAACTGGTTTGGGCCTTTACTTACATTTGCCAAATTTTCCAACAGTAGTACCTAGATTAGTGTTTCATCAAAAAACTGGATGTTACACCAGGGGCTGGAATCTTGCAGCCCATCTTACAATTCTGCCTACCACAGGGTCATATCAAAAGCACACAAGACACAGCAATCAATAAATATAAATTTCTAGAATATTATTGTTGTTTAGGTCTGTGGACTACAGATAATTCAATGGCTGAAATTCTTTAAAAGTGATCTTAATCAGAGTGTTTACCTCAATCAATTTTAGGTATTGTCAGATATCACTAATAGTTAACTATCTATTGATCTATCTATTTATCTACCTGAAAGATGGTGAAAACATGCATTTCAAGTACTACAGAGATATTTATTTAGCGCCCACTACGGGTTCCCCACAGCCATCATGTCATTTCATCCCCATCCTGCTCCTCTGATGTGTGTATTAGTGGCCCCATTTTCAGAGGAGGATGCCAAGGCTCAAATTGTTTAGTGAACAACACAGTGCTGCATAGCTAGCAACCGATTTCCATCCATGAATCTTGTAAACGCAAAAGTACACTCACTCTCAGTGTTAACCAGCATTCACACAATAAGCAATAAACAATGTTAAAAAAGGGGAAGGGCACAAGAGCCAACTTGAAAGGCCTCCCAATGGCTAAACTGGATACAATTTGTGTAACAATATGATAGTAATGGAATATAACTCATAAAGTAAAATATATACTCACTAATAATTGAATAAAGAAATAAAGGGGAAAAGAAAGCTGTTCCTTTACAAAATTCCAATTAATAAATGTAGAAGAGATGATGGAAATAGAAAATTACCATTTGACATAGAGCAATAAGTATTTCAGGCCAAGAATCAATAAACCCTAAAATTTGTGGGCAGAATATGATGAGAAATGGGATATTTACAGTCTCAAAGTATCTTCCCAGAAGATAATTAATTACAAAGGAGAAAATAGTAGCTTTACAGTAGAGAAAACTAGCCGACACCACCTTAACCAAGTAATCAAAGTTACAATCACCAATAATGAGACGAGTTGACATCCAGTGCCTCCTGGGATGATGCACTAAGAAAGATACAACATACAACTCCACTTCTGTGGAGTTCTTACCAAAACTGCATAATTATGAGAAATATCAAACAAACCAAAAGGGCCATTCTAAGAAAGAACTAACCAGTACTCTTCAAAAAGTAACAGTCATAGAGGCAAAGAAATTCTGAGGAATTTAAAGACTAAGGAGATACAACATGTGACCCTGGATTGAATGCTCGGCCAGAATAGGGATGTTAGTGATACAATGGTGAAATGTGAATCAAGTCTATAGATTTTGTAGATTTTTTCTTGGTTTTTCACATACATCCTTTAAAAGAGTTGTCTGCAGTCACTCTTTCCATGTCCTCATAATAGCATAACAGAATTATGTTAATTTCCTCATTATCACAATTGTACTGTGGTAATTTAAAATTTTACATTAGGAAATCTGAGTGAAAGCTATACAACTTAAAAAAAACATCCAAACTACTTTCTAATTTCCACCTCAATTTATCCACAATGCAATTTTGCCAAGTTACCTGAGGTTTACTAAATTACCAATTTTTTAAAGGATGGAATTATTTCAGATCTCTCTCTATTCAGGTATGTATATACATATGTATATGCATACACACACCCTACATGTATATACATATTCTACATATTAAACATAATTCACATAATACATATCTATATAAAAATATTATACCTTTAATACATTAACAGCAAATACTTTCCCTGAATCTTTACCTTATGGTTTTAATGTTCTTTTACACATAATGCTTGAAAAATTGTCCAAGCTACGCTTTGAATCTCCCATTCACTCAGACACTGCAACGTGGTGTCCCACGAAATTTCACGCCATATAACCATCTCCTATTTTTCATTTGGTGTACATGTCTTAGTCCTTACGTTATTATATAATAAATTCAGCAAATTTCCAATGTTTTACTATTTGATCTCTGCAACGAACCTTTTGTATACGCATCCTTGGGAAGACAGCCTAGCTTTGTAAGCTATATTCCTAGAAAACTGCTGGCATTACCTTCCCATCAACAGATAAGAATACCCATTCCCTTGTTCGTGTGATATTTACTGTCGTCTATGTGGCAGGCACTGTTCTGGGCACTAGGAAAAGCAGTGAACAAAAACGGACACATTCCTACCCTCAGAGCAAACAGAAGACAGAAGAAAAGTTTGCCATTTTATTTTTTCCCACAGTACTTTTAACTGTTTCCCCCACTTGCTCACTACCCTTGCTATTTCTTCAATTCCAACTGCTATCCTGAAACTTCTAGTAGCAATTTAAAGTAGAATGAAGTCAACTATAGGAAGCATGTTTACTCTATTTTTTTGTACCTACAATAAAGTTATTATGAGAATTAAACACGATGATGCAAGTAAAGTACTTAGTACAGTGCTTAACAATAAACAGTCTCTCCGAGGTAGATGTTATTTATTGTTTCTCATTTTTACAAGTGAGGAACATGGGGCTTGGAGATGAAAAATTATTTGCTTAATGTTACATACGTAGAATGTGGCAGTACAAGACTTTGAACTACGTCTGACTCCAAAGCCTTAACTCTCAACCACAATACTATACAATTTGTCTTCTATTCTACAATGTTCTTATTAACGTCAACCCATACTTAAATCCTGCAGTACACACAAAACATTGTTTTTGTTTTTGTTTTCTCATTGGCACTTATCATCCTTCCTGAATTTTGGATCTAATGTCATTAACAACAAAAATATATAAGCAAGGATGAGTTACCCAATTACAAAGCCAACATTCTCATGCAGTATAAAAGTTAATTAATGTAATCATTGAAACTCATATAACTCAAACTGCTTACTTTATTTAACAATGAAATAGTAATAACACAATAATTTAGTTGTAACAAAGACATCAACAAAGCAAAATAAAAACAAAGCTTCAGCTCAAATTAGTCATCTCCTTTAAACAGGAAAAACTACCATTATTAGTCTAGTGGTTCTCAAACTTTTCTACACATTTGAGGAAATGGGGGGAGAGACATGGACTGGTGCTTAAAAAAATAGGTCCAAGGCCCACCTAAGAACAATTATAAATGAGAATCTCTCAAGAGTAGTGCCCAGGCAAAGATTTCTGAACTGTGGTCAGTGTTGAGAACTACAAGTCTAAAGTAATAAGCAACAAATATCATGCCCTCAAAGCAATTCAAAACCAAGAAATTAAAAAAAGAAATATGATAAATGTCTTTCCTTTTACCCTGGGAAAAGGAGGAGGGAAGAACCTACTCTTTCTCATTGGTCTTTATCCATTTTTGATTGCCCAAAATAGAGTTTAGAGTTTAACAAACATCAAGCATTGGGAGTTATGCAAACATGCTACCCAAAATGAAATTCTCACTACTTTACATTTAGAAAGCTCTTTTAAAACACTACTGGCTTTCAAAAAGAATCTCCCACCTTTTAAGTTTGCATAGATGTTTAAGTCAGCTATTTGTTCAACTAAGAAGAGTCAATAAAATATATTAGAAAGCACTTATTAATAACAGTTATTATAAAACAATATTCATTTAATGTACCACTAATTAACATTTTGGTGCAGACGAGAGAAATATTTGAGTGTTTCCCACCTATTTCTAAAACTGTCAGAACTCTTTTTTTATAAGATCAATATCTTCAAATTTAGAAGCTAAACATAAGTTTTTCTTTAAGAATGTATAGATAAAATACTTCCCCTATAACTGCACGACATCCTTGACAAATCCCTGTTAGGAGGGTCAGCAGTGACTGCAGGCATTTATCTCTGAAACAACTTTTCCTCATTTTTCAGGTGTGGGAATGATATCACATTAAGTATGGAAAATAACTTTTTTCCTTAAGAATACATAAATTCACTTAGAAAATGTCTCCTCAAATTCAGAAAAACTCTTTTCTTCAGCTCCTTCTGTCAGGACTCCATGTCAATCTCAACCACTTCATTCTTGCCCTGAAGCACTGCTTCTGTAAGGCTGTCTTCACTTACATCTTCAATGTCTGCCAGATCAACAGGTGGTAAAGGATTCCTCCAGTACTGGAAGGTGTTATACTGCCAAAAGTCTTCATCGAGCTTTAGAGAAAAAAAGAGAGATGAAAGTACATCAATGGCTTAGAAAAAGTTAAGCTTTTTCAGGAAACAAATTTTCTTCTGTTTTAAAAACAAACTCATGTAAGATTTTGCAGTCTTTTATTTTGCATGTTCAACAAATATACATTTTTAATTCTGCCTAATCAAAGAACTTCATGGACTCAGTCAAATCTGGGCACTTTTACATTCATGGATTTGTGAAAGTATTTCTTGTTACTAGTTTAAATTTAAAAGAATTTCTTCCAAGACCATCTCTTCCCACAATTTTCTTCCATTTTTCAAGCAAAAAAAAGTCTGAAAACAGTCTTAAAATTTTTTACCTTTCGGTGAGGAAAACAATTTATTTTAAAAATAGACCTTAAAACTTATTTTTGGTCTTTTTCCTGAAGTTTTGGTATTTTAAGGTATTGATTTTACATAAGCTAAAATACTTCTGACAACCTGCTAAAAAGTATTAGGATATAAACAACGTAAACAGCAAGAAAATCTTAAACTGATCATTTTATTAAAAATACCATTTGGGGGCCGGCCCCATGGCTTAGCAGTTAAGTGTGCGTGCTCCGCTGCTGGCGGCCCGGGGTTCGGATCCCAGGCGTGCACCGACGCACTGCTTCTCTGGCCATGCTGAGGCCGCATCCCATATACAGCAACTAGAAGGACGTGCAGCTATGACATACAACTGTCTACTGGGGCTTTGGGGGAAAAAATAAATAAATAAATAAAATTATAAAAAAAAAAAATACCATTTGGTTCAAGGTATGACTTTTAAATCAATATTTAACAAAATTGATAAAACCTAGTGAGTGCTGGCCCCTCAAAAATTCAACAGCTTACTCTGAATGGCTATAAAACTGTTTCAAGTAACTATGAAGTGAAGCTGATGTTCCAATGAAGTTCAAAATTGGCACAGAATTTTAAAAGCATCCCCAAAACACTTTCTGCAAAGGAAGCAGCATTGGAATTATATACAGGCTTCCAGGTGACTATTTTGCAGGTTAATACCCTTCCCAGATGGATATATATATATCTTTATCTATTCTACTATGTCACGTTCTTACTTTAGGTTCACACTTGCTATAGCAGCACTATCCAACACATATAACGGGAGCTACACATGTAATTTAAAACTTTCTAGTAATCATAGTAAAAAAGTAAAAAGAAACAGGTGAAATTACTCTTAATATTTTATTTGACCTAATATATCCAAAATATTATCATTTTACTATGCAGCCGATATTAGGAAAAATTAATAAGATATTTTATATTTTTCATATTATGAGTTTTCAAAATCTGGCAGGCATTTTACACTTCCAGCACTATTCACACTAGCCACATGTCAACGCTCAACAGCCACATGTGGCTAGGGGCCAGTCTACTGGAGAGTACAGGTCTAGAAGGAAATCTCATTAAGTTCATTCAGTGCCTTAGACTCTAAGGCTTACAGAATTAAGTCTCTTTGGAATTTCTTAATACTGGGATAACAATGTAATAATTCAAAGGATGCCAAGAAAAATTTCATTTTAATAAGCATATAGGGTTAAAAACAAGGATCTATTTCTCTGCCTTTTGGAAAAATCTATTCAAATTATCTACTTATAAAGATGGGCCAAAAAAGGGTCCTTTAATAACATCAGCATAACCCAGTAGCTAACAGCACAAACGCTGCCACCACACAGACCTGGGTTTGCATGATAAATCCACCAACTCTGCTCTTGACCTGAGTCTATTTCTTCATTGGCAAAACTATAGGACTGTCGTCATTGCTCAATACTTCTAGGTATTGTAACCCAAGAAGCCTATGAACCATTAACCACTTTCTTCCTAGTGGGAGAAAAACATTTCTGCTTACTTTCTATTAAAAATATCTAACAGTAAGGGACAGCACTGAGCACAATGAAGCTGCATAAAGTGACACTAACATGAGAAAATACATGAATATTTAATTAGGTAATACCTGGTTTTAATTGTCTAATAAAAAAAATCTGAAACTCAGGAAATATTCTGAGGTTCTAGGACAGAAGAGAGGTACCATTATTCTGCCTAGATTGCATCCTCAACATAAAAAGAAGGAAGATAACTGAGAAAGAAATTTCCTAAATGCGATCTCAAGGGTGAAGGTAGGTAAGTTCTGTTCTGGGTGCAACATGAACCAGGTAGACATTTACTGCACAAACTGAAAAAGCATGTGCTTTTTTTTTTTAACTCCTCCATGTTTCTGTTATATCTTGGTTTCCCTTGGTAATTAGCTATAAAACCCTTAAAATAAAAACCCTGTCTCTTCAGAAGAAGAAAGGTAGGAGGGACGCTGAAAGAAAATATGTCCCACTCTTAAGTCTGCACAAGAGAATCAGCTCAAGGAACAAAACCAACGAAAGGAAGGAACATGACGGTTCCTGGGCTTCTGCCAAAGAAGAGAACAGGGGACTAGAGGAACCCCCAGAGCCAAGCTTGTTCCCTGCCATGGGGCTTGTAGTGACTACAGGAAGGAGAGCTGACAGAGGTAGTCACTGCAGTGAAAAAAGCTACAGGGGTGTCTAGATTCTAAGCAGGCATCTGTGTCAGTCTACCAAAAATGGTCTGAAAAGAGTTTCAAACCACACAGTACTTATCTCCATATCAAATAAGTCTGGATGACTATCATTCTGCTTTTTACTGTTTTATTTTTTGTTTTCTTTAGGTTTTGGACATTGGCACCAGATATGATTTAATTGGAAATTCTAATTATTTTATTTTCAGAATATAAGTGCTATCATTCAGTTTTAAATAAGCTGATTTTGAACATCTAAAAGCAATCTGAACAAAACAGTCTACGTAAGGCTCATGTTCTCTAAATTCCAAGAAAACAGAGTGGAAGTATTTACAATTTATAATTTCATCCAGAAATGCCCACCTTAATGATTATGTCTCAAAGACGATTTCTCACAACCCAGAAGAAAAATCTTTCCCAACTATACAATTCTCCTTTCATCCCGTTTTTCACCAAGAAGTCATACCAAAGGAACCTCAATTCTTTTTTTTGGCAAGGTATTTGATAAATTCTGCATGAGATACTTAAGTCAATGGAGAAATGTGGACCAGATGCTATGATGTAGTGTTGAAGACATGGTGGTGAATTCTGAGGCCTACATTTGGTTCTTCCATTCCCAAAGCTCCAGGCAAGTCAACCCAGAACTGCCAAAAAGCAGCCTGAATTCCTAAGTCTAGACCAAAGCTGTCCAATAAATACATCATGCCAGCCAAACACGTAATTTAAAATTTTCTAGTGGCCATATTAAAAAAGTAAAAGAAATCGGTGAAATGAATTTTCGTACGTTTTATTCAATCCAGTATCTCCCAATTATTTCAGCATGTAATCAATATAAAATATTTTGCCATGTTTGAAATCTATTGCGTATTTTACACTTACAGTACATCTCCATTTTAACTAGTCACGTTTCAAGGGTTCAGTTGCCTCACATGGCTAGCGGCTGCCACACTGAACAGCGCAGATGAGACAAATCAGATCATCTTACCTGAAGAGATGGGGCAGGCTCACTACCCAACAACCAGGAACTCTCCAATGATCCTGATACACGCTTTACCTTACGGCCCAAATTAATTTTCCGCGACAATCTTGTTTCACAGGATCAGATTTACCACTGTCATTTAAAACGCCTTGTCTCAACATACGGAGGCCTCTCCTGTCCACCAAAAGAGCTGTACCAGGTCTAAAGAACGTCAATGGACGGCTACCACATTAGTCACCCTCTTCGTACGAAATCTATCACGAATTCTAGAAAAGCCCATCGTTAAACCAAAGAAGGCGCGCTACACCTGTCTTTCGTTCGTCGTTGAGCCGAACCGATCGCGGTTCCCCGTCAACGTCTTCGTCCCGCTCCAAGAGCTGTCGTGAGCCACGCTCCCGCTTCCCTCCCGCACTGCGCCGGCGCCGAAGCTGCCAGGCCACGTCCAGGTCCCCCGAGGGTCTGTCGCCCCTAGTTCAGGCAAACACCCTCAGCCCGACGGACTCTCCCAAAACCCCGACGAGGGTGGGCTCTGGGGCCCTTGGGGATAGCCTGGGAGCCGGCGTCTATTCCTGCAGCGGGAACCCCGGCTTTTCGCCTTTTGGGGCGTCTTCACCACCACGAGTCTAGAGGCGGTTCATCTGTTCCTTCCCGGGGCGCGCAGTGCTGGGCAAAGGGCGACCCCTTGCCCCTCCCCGCGCCCGCCCCCTAGAGCCCCCAGCCCCTACCTGGCCCGCTGCGGCCCCCCAGTCTTCCCGCGGGGGCTCTGCTCGCCCCGCCCCGCCGTCGCCACTGCCCCTCGGGGGCCGGGCGCGCCCGGGCTCCTCCCCCGGCCCGCCGGGCCGCACGGGCGGCTGCAACAGCGGCGGCTCGCCCGTCTCGAGGCCGCGGCCCTCAAGCTCCGCGCCGCCCGGAGCGCGCGTGTCCCCGCCGTCGCGGCGCTTGCTGGGCGAAGACAGAGGCTCCGTCATCGCCCCCGCGTCGATTCTGCGCTTTCGGGGCAGCTCCGGGACGCCGAGAGGCTGCCCGGGATGCGAGGCCCCCGGCCGCGGGATCCAGGGCGCCGGCGGCGGCTCCTCCGGAAAGTCGCAGAGCACGAGCCGCTTCCAAGGCACGTGGAACGTCAGCGGCTCGGCCGCACGCCGCTTGGCCATGGGCCCCGGAGGCTCGGCGGAGCCCGCCGGGCGCGGGAGGCCGAGCGCAGACAGCTGCGAGGGCGGAGCGCGCGAGCGAGGGCGAGGACCAAGTCGGGGCGAGGCGGCGGCAGGAAGGTGGAGGCAGCGGACGAGGCGGCGCGGCCAGGGACGGCGCGACCGGCACGCGCTGCCCTCGCCGCCGCCCAGGCGCGGCCGGACGTTGGGGAGCGCCCGCGACGAGGTGCAGATTCGAACCTGCGCACAAACGTGCGCGCGCGCACTCGCGCCGGCCAGGCGGAGCCGCCGGTTGGTGGAAGCTCACGCGGCGCGCTCCCGAACGGCCCCGTGGCCGGAAGTGCGCGCCCCGGGGGAAGGCGGGAAGGCCGCGGCGGGTTTATTAAAGGCCCAGCGAGTCGCCCGCGGAGGGCGTGACCTTGTTGCTTCCGGGGTGGGCGGGGATGTGCAAATCGCCAGCCTGGGAAAACGGGGTAGAGTTAAGACTCCTTTCCTGGAGTCAGTGGCCACGGGGACGTCACCAGGCGGTGAAAACATCATACAAACTTTTAATACGCTAGTCTTAAGAGGCTCTAGTACTACGTTAAGTGATTATTCGAGACAGACTACTGAATGGGAGACTGGGCGCAGGGAAGTAGCGAGAGCCAACACGCAAAAACAAAAAGACCAACCAAGTGGATGTTTTACAGTGGCTGCTGTGGAAGGTGAAGTAGGCACCACATTCCTCCAAGACCTTTTAATTACAAGTTCATTGATGAAGCTGCAGACGTGTGTAGCTCATGTAGAATAGCTCATCCAATAGCTAAGCCTGAGGCACAGCTCTTTTCCAAGTGAAACCTAAAATCGTTTGGCTCTTAAGTGGGAGTTCCCTGCTTACTCTCTGCGCTGATCAGAAGTGAGATTCCCAGACCTTCCTTACAGCAAAATTGTGTGTATTATCAAGCAAAATGAGGAGTGGCTAACAGCAGTGTATTTACTGTAACATATATATATATATATTTTTTTTTTTGGTGAGGAAGATTCACCCTGAGCTAACATCTGTGCCAATCTTCCTCTATTTTGTATGTGGGTCACCACCACAGCATGCCCCGGAGGAGTGGGGTAGGTCCACGTCTGGGACCTAACCCAGCCACTAAACCCAAGCGCACGGAACTTCAACCACTGTGACACCAGGCCGGCCCCATAGCTTATATTTTAATAATTGATAAAGGCAATAACCCAGTAAAAAGTGAGAAAGAAAACTGTATATGTGCTTTGAAGGGAGAAACTACTATGATCTTCTAGAGAGAAAGTGTGCAAGGATGATAATTGTACTGTAACTGGTAGGTAATACCTATATATTAATTGTCCCACACCTGTACACCTCAAGGTTGTTATGAGAAGGCAACTTATTAATAAGCACAGAAATATGACAAGTAGGGTAGTAAACAATAGCTTTTCTGTTTGATCTTTCCCTTCCCCCTTCTTTGAAACTGATAACCAATCTGTCTCAAACAGATGAAGACTTTGCCATTTTCAAACCAGTGACATACATCAGATAGGAAACAGCTTAATTTTATTTGAAAGGTTTTGAGGGTGTGCTGCACAAAAATGATAAAAGTGCAGTTTAGCAAATACAGGTTCATTCGTTTGTGGTCCTCACTACAGAATCTCTTTTTTTCTAAACTGTGAAATTTATATTCACAAAAGGTCATATAAACACACATGCAGTTAAAACGATAGTAAGATACCCAGCACCCAGGTTCAGATGTAGACTATTACTAGTACCAGAACATGACAAAGTCCCTAGGTGCCTCCCCCATTCCAGGTAACTACTATTTTCAAATCTGAGTTAACCATTCTTAGTTTCCTTTGTAATTTCCCCACCTGTGTGTGTGTTCTTAAATAACATTTTTAGTTGTGCTGGTTCTTTAGCAGTATTATTGAGGCCTAACTGACGTAAAATAAACTGCTTATGTTTAAAGTGTTTAATGTGCTGAATTTTGAGATATGTATAAATTTGTGAAACTATAACCATAATTAAGATAATGCACATATCCATCACCCCCAAAAGTTTCCTCTTGCCCTTTTGTGATCCCTCCCTCCTCCCCCAGCAATGTAACCTCCTCCCAAGGCAATGTAACCCCTGCTTTCCTATCACTGTACAGTCTGAATGAATAAGAGGCATAAACTGTAAAAGAAGCAAAAACTTTATTTGGGGGGTCCCAAGCATTGCAATTCAGGATACACCGATTTGAGTAGAAGCTCGAATGTGCTCCTAGGAAGACAAAGGAGGTAGAGGTTTATAAAGGCAAAGAACACAGCTTACAAAAGTTTACACTGAAGTTTACATTGAACAATCACTGAACAATGATTGGTTCTGGCATGGGGCGAGCTGATTTGCTAGCGTGTAGTTGGTCCTCATTTAGGCAAACTGTCCCTTCTTGGAACGATGAAACGCTTCAAGATGTGACCTCTGGTGTCAGGTAAAGTTCGAAAGTTCAGTTAACATCTAGTGGTGGATGTGGTGGATGCACATAAGCCCCACATCCTTAATGGCCCCTCCCAGCCCCATTTTAGAAGCCTTGACATACGTTACTCCATTTTGTTATCGCCGTTCATATTTCTACCTTTTGATTGAGATCTTTCAGCAGAAAGCACGGCAGATCAATTGTTTGATATATATATGTGTGTGTGTGTATATATATATGTATATGTGTATATATATATGTATATGTGTATGTATGTATATGTATATATGTATATATATGTATATATGTATATATGTGTATATATATATGTATATATGTGTGTATATATATATGTATATATCCTTCGTCACCAGGAAGGTGCATTCCCAGGAACTCATGTCCTATGTGGGGGGAAAGTGAGATGCTCAGTCATCAGTAGCCGTCAGAGGCTTTCATCACATCTCAGCAATAAGGAGGTGGTCAGGAAAAGAGTCTTAGGCATAGTCTCTACCTGGAAAAAGTATCAAGTCCTTTGTTTGGGATTGCAAGATTGGTCGATCATCTCAAGTCACTACGCAATCATCACTCTAGCAGTACAGACAGACATGCAGCATCATGAAATGCAAATCATTAGCAGTTTAACAGTGGCAAAGATTGAAAAAACCAGAACAATAATCATTAGTAAGGCTTCAAACCCTGATCTCAGAATAGCTCCGAGCCCAACTCCAAACAGGTGAAAGTGGTCCAGGAGGCCAGCAGAATGACCTTTATCGCTAAGGAGATTTATATTATCTTTTATGACCTTTAGTTCTTGTTTTATGTGACTAGACTCATTTACATAGAAGCAACATTCCTCTCCCAGGAGTGTGCAGGTACCCTGTTCTTGAGCAGTTAGGATGTCAGGAGCCCTTCAATTCTGAAGGACAACCTCTGCTACACTCTCTCTCTGACCCTCGTGATATTCGATGGCTTGTTGGGTGACATTGAAGATGGAAGCCATCATTAGACAAAGATTGCTGATGGACGTTTCAAGGGCACTAACTCCAGAGGTGGGGAATAATGCCCTAACAAGGGCATCCCCCAATCCTGTGTCATCTACAATAGGGTTATATGTGGGGAGTCCCTCAAAGTCACAATTCCTTTTGGCTCTTTTAAGTTGATAGAAGAATGAGCCAAGGTTTGGTATGTAGGCAGTGGAAGGAAGCTTTTTTCTGACTAGCATCTGGAGAGAGTGCTGCTACCCTGCACTGTCCCTTCCAGGAGGTAGGGAGAAGGGAGAAAATATCGGAGACGCATAGGAAGAAATATCCCGTATTCTCCAGGGACAAGGCATAAGTGGGCCCACGTGCCCAGACCTTCTTGTTAGGCTCAAAGGAAGGAATCTCATGGTGCAGAGGTAGTCATTTTCACAGACGATACAACAATTAAGACGAGTATTATTGTGGGAATGCTTACAGGGACAATGGAGGATCCTGTAGACTTGGAGCAAAAGATGAGATTGATTTGGGCTGGCCAAGTTTGGTGGAGGCTCGACTGATTGATTAGGGTCACCATAGGTTCCGTCTAGTTTCCAACATTATCCTGATTTCTAATCAATGGAAGGAGGCAGGGTTGAGAGAACGACAGTGAGTAATAGTGACAGTAGGTGAGGATAGAAGGAGAAGCTCATAGCAGGTTAACCTGCTTGCGCAGAGGTGTTGAGTGATGGGAATGAAGGAGGGCTTCCACCGAGTGAGGTACATAAATGGTCAGAAGAGAGCCCATGACGGTTTCTTCGGCAGTTCTAAGAAGAGCTGCAGTCGCAGCAACGGCTCTCATGCAGGGAGGTAGTCCCTTAGATACATAGTCTGTTGACTCTAATAGCCTATTGCTCTATGTTGCCCTCCATGTTGCTGGGTAAGGACACCCAGTGCATTTCCTTCCTTCTCATGAATGAAAAGGAAAAAGGGCAACGTGTACTTAGCTTGTCCCAAGGCTGGGGTGTCAAGGAGACCCTGCTTGATGGTCTCAAAGGCATTTTGATTTTCTTCAGACCACTTGAGGGGTTCTGGTTGGTCAACCTTAAGCAGAGAGTATAAAGGTTGAGCTCTCATTGAGAAATTAGGAACCCAGTTTCCACAATAACCAGCCAATCCTAAAATTCCCCTCAATGGCCTTTCGGTCTGGGGAACAGGGAAAGGATTCCTTTTACTCTATCTGGGTCAAGCATTAACCCCTTGGTTACATATCAAATGTCCCAAATATTTAACTTGGGGCTGACTGAACTGCAGTTTCTCTTTAGAGACTTTATGTCCCTTAGAAGCAAGTTTCCTTAAATGATGTAGTCCTTCTATGATAGATGCCTCTTTTGATGGCGAACAGAGGAGGAGGTCATCCATGTACTGTAATAAAGCCGAATGTTCTGAAAAGGTTACCTCTGCTATATCTTCCTTTAACATTTGAGAGAAGTAGTCTGGGCTTTCACTGTAGCTTTGAGACATGACTGTCATGTGTACTGCTGTCCATCTCAAGTGAAGGCAAATAAAAATTGGCTATCAGGATCTACAGGAATGCTAAAGGCACTACAAAGGTCTATGACTGTAAAGAACTTGCTATTTGGAGAAACAGCAGACAGTAAGGTATGAGGGTTGGGGACAACAGGGTGCCAGGGTATTAGAATGTTATTGATGGCTCTCAAATCTTGTACAAATCTCCATCCTTTTCCATGAGGTTTATGTACAGGAAGGATGGGAGAATTGCAAGGACTTGTGCAGGGAATAATGAGCCCTTGTTTTAGATATTCCTCAATTATAGGCTTAATACCTTCAACTGCTTCTGCATGAAAAGGATATTGCTTAACCTGAGGTAAGGGCTTATTTGGACCCACCTCAATTTTTATTGGAATGGCAGAGTGAAGACAGCCAATATCCATAGAGCTTTCTGACCAGAGGCAGTCAGGAACAGCATCTGAGATAGGAGTCTGCTGCTTTTTGACTTCAGTGGGTAAGACAAGGACGGAAACCATTACACAAGCAGAGTTATCCATAGAAGAACAGTTAAGATTAGGGTCTCTTAATTCAAGAAATATTTCCCCCTTTGGAGAGAAAGAGATGTGGGCTTCATAAGTTTCAAGGAAATCACTCCCAAGTAAATGTACAGGAGCAGAGGGGACCAGCAAAAATGGGTGAGATCCTGATATTGAGCCTAACTGAATAAAAATTGGGAGTGACTTAAAAAGAGTCATGGGCCGATTGGACACCCCCACCATTTGTATGGTTTCTGAACTCCAAGAAAGGGGACAAGAAAGGCTGGTGGAGTTGACAACTGATAAGGTGGCCCCCATATGGATAAGGGCTCTGGTGACCTCACCTCCAATTATTAACTCAATTTCCCCTAAGAAATTGGCTAGGAGGAAATGTCTGCTTTAAATCCTCAGAGCAGCTGTATTACTGAAATGACTGTAAGGCTCTCCCTTTTGGAACAGACAGTCAAAACCGAGATTCTTGCTAGGGGGCCTGATTTTTCCTTTTTAGGATATAACAATTTTTCTCCAATGGCCTCATGTTTTACAGTGATGACAGACACCTTCCAGAGAAGTCCTATTGGTCTGAGGAGACTTGTCTTTTAGTTGCGACATCTGAACCTGCATGATTTATGCGACCTGGACTTTAATGTTGAGGGCTTTGCCAGTTTTCTTTCTCGCTGCCTTTTGGATTGTTCTAGATGACTGTTCAGCTAAATTAACAAAATCATGTATTTCTATGGTGGCCCAGTTAAATGCATGTCTCTTGACAAGAGTAGCAATTTCATCTTCCAACCATTGACAAAAGTTGAATCATTCAGGGAGGAAGTTTTGTCATCAGTGAGATCAATTTCACACTATTGTTTAAAAGCCTTCTCAAACCTGTCAAAACAGTCAAACCCAGATTCATTGGATTTACGTATACCTTGCTGAATCCTTTTCCAGTCAAAAGTCTTTGGGAAGACATTAGGAGTTTTTTCGGGAAGTCTTTTAGCTAACATCAACATCTCCCATGGCTCCCTTGCCTTACTTAGAAAGTCGTCCATGGGATTGTTTCAGCCTGCTTTAGAAACCATTCTTTGGTTTTCCCTTCTCCCACAAGCATGTGGATAAGTTGATACAAATCTGAAGAGCCAGGTTGATAAGTTTCAATAATTAGTTCAAATTCTTTTGCAAATTTAAGAGGGTCTTCCTTGGGATTGGGGACTCCCTTAGTCACAGCTAATAATTCAGATTTTGTCCAGAGGTTGTAGGATATTGTGGGGTTATTTCCATCTCCTGTCTTTAAAGGGAGCTGCTAGTGCAGGGCAATCAAGGAGAGCTTTAGTGTCATCATTATAAAAAGGAAGTCCATCCACAGAAGGATACAGAGGTGGGAAAGCAAAGGTTGGGGTAGGGGAGGAGCAGAAGCAGCTGCAGCACCAGAGAAAGCATTGGCTGATCTTTCTAGTTTTGCAAGCCTTTGAGAGAGATCTGAATTGACTTCAGTAAGTTTAGAATTAATGGGCTTGTAGGGAAATGACCTATTCAGTGTTCCATTTAGAGGCCTCAGGATACCAATTAAAATAAGCTTCTCCTTTGATTTGTTTGGTTCGATAGCCTTTTTTCCAATTGAACGCACAGATAAACCAATTTAGGAATTTCAAAGGCGCCCCATTTAGGGCAGTGAAGCCTTAAATCATCCTGAGAAATGTGAGCCCAGTGGGACAAAAATCTACATGTAGAAGGTCCATATTCTTTAAACATAAAACAAGCAGGAGTCCCGCGGGGACTGCCCTTCGGCTGTCCCCTTAGAAAATGCACTTCCCATTTCTCTGTACTTACCAAAGGATCAAAGGCCCAACAAAGAAACCAAACAAACAGAAGGTCCTAACAAAGCTGACAACAAAAGGACAGCCAAAACAGGTATCAAAGGACACCCAAATAAAGAGTCTGGACCTCTACCAAAAATGGGAGATCCAGGCCAAGGAGGACTTACCACCAGTAACCACAGCCATCAGGAGGAGACAATAGAGCAGAAAAGATTCTTTGCAGGCGCCTTCCTCCTGTCTGTGAAGAGGTGCCAGAATCGGAGGTCAGTAGTTATGGATCCCACTTCTGACACCATGTAAAGTCAACAAATAGGCACAAACCACAAAAGAAGCAAAAAGTTTATTTGGAGTTTCAAGAATTCCAATTCAAGAAACATAGATTCAAGTAGAAGCTCAAATGTGCTCTGAAGAAGAAAAAGGCAGGGGTTTATAAGGGCAAAGCACACAGCCTTACAAAGGTTTACAATGAACAGTTAATGATTAGTTCTGGCATGGGGTGAGCTGACCTGCCAGCACGTAGTTGGTCCTTGAGTTGCATCTAGGCAGACTGTCCCTTCTTGGAATGAGGAAACACTTCAAGATGTGACCTCTGGTGTCAGGTACAGTTCAAAATTCAGTTAACATCTTGTGGTAGGCATGCTGTGTGTGCATAAGCCCTACTTCCTTAATGAACTCACAAATCCCTTTTAGAAGGCTTCGTATATGTTACTCCATTTTGTTATTGTCATACACAACTGTCATGCAATGAGTAACGGCATTAACAATGTTCTGGTCACCGACGGACCACATATACGACAGTGCTCCCACAAGAGTAGCATCATATAGCCCAGGTGTGTACTAGGCTATGCCGCTTAGGTTTGTGTAAGTACACTCTATGACGTTCACACAAAAATCAAATCGCTTAATGATGCATTTCTCAGAACATATCCCTTTCGTTAAGCGATATGTGCCTGTACTGATTTTAGTTTTGTGAATGATGAATAATGAATTTTCTTCATTTCAATAATTTGAGTCAGCCCCACTGAATGAAGATAGGAAAGGCTGAGTGAAGCAAAAAAATTAAATTTCCTGTTCAACATTCACAAAACGAAATAAGCATACAAGAACTTTAAGTTCTATATCAGGGTTCATGTACGGCAAAAACATGCTAAAGCAAAGACGGATTTGAGGACATATGTGATTCTGAGTGTAAATGTCTGGATACAAGCAAAAATTCCAGGCATCTCAGACTTTCAAGACAGCGGAATTGGTGAAACCAAAGTCAAGTTCTCCAAACAGTACAGGAGGACTCAGGCAATATCTGGGGTACAGATGACACAAGCAGAAAATTTCATTAATGTAATTATATGATAGGATGAAAGGGCGGAGTTGGAAAACAGGATGGCAGGGCAGGTAGAGGGACCTAGAGGGCCCAGGAGAGGTGGAGAGATCTGCTAGTCTGGTGGGTGGGGGAGGGGCTCAGGGAACACCCTCTTCGTGCTGTCCCCTCCCCCACCCTCTGAAACCCTTTGTGACTCTTCAATGCTCTGTGATGCAGGCTTGGGACTATAGTCCAGCCCCTGAACACTCAGAGCTCAGTTGCCTCAGGCAGCCTTGCGATTCAGACAATGGAGTTCAGTCAATGCAATGTTCTCTCATTTCTGAATAGCCTTATTGAGGTGTGTCCGAGCGTCTGCTCAACATTCTTAGATACTGACCCCAACCTCACCATTGTGTGTGGGTTGTGGTTGCTCCTTCTGTTCCTGTGCTTGCTGGTGGGGATTCCATCTGCACCAACCTGCTGGGAAACCAAAGTCTTCCAAAAGGTAAAGATCCCTGGGCAAGCCCCCAACAGAGATCCCTTATTGTTGTTTCCATTTCTAGTCCCACAAAATGAGTTTGGTTGGCTCAGAGAGACACCCAAGATGGGAAGTCTGAGTAGAGGATAGAACATTATCCTTCTAGAGAAACAGGCTGGGCAGGGCTAGGAGTTCAGCTGAGACTGTTTCTATTCGAAGCTCACAGACCATCTGGGTGTGGTGGAGGATTCCTGGATAAAAATCCCAAAACAGTGATTTTGTGGCCCTGCACTGGGTTATTTAGAGAGTTTGGGATCTGTGCAGGGAAACACTGTTCCCAGCACTTGATCATGAGTCATATCCCGGTGTCAGGCGTCACTCGACCAAGGCTTCCTTTGTATTGGGCAGATCAGGAGAGCAGGGCTGAACCTCTGAGCAGAGACCGGAGCCTGAGGTCTCTTCCAGTATACAGGGCTCTATCTGAGGAAGCATAGATGTGACTGTTGGCCTCAGATTCTACGCCCTCCTTGAGCAGAGAACTTCTGACTGAGAATATCAAGTGTGTAGTAGAAGATAAAAACAACAAAAAACAAACACATAGAGACAGAGATTGGATTGGTGGTTACCAGAGGGGAAGTGGGGAGGGAGGAGGGTGAAAGGGATGATTAGATGCATCTGTGTGGGGATGGATTGTAATTAGTCTGTGGGTGGTGAACATGATGTACACTATGCAGAAACAGAAATATAATGGTGTACACCTGAAATTTATATAATTTTATAAACCAATGTTACCACAATAAAAAAAATAGTAAAAAAAAAAGAATATCAAGTGTGGACCTCATAGACAAAAATCCTTCTTCAAGTTTTTCAAACAAGGAAAAATTGAAAGTATTTTATCACCTTTAAAAATTGATAAAAGGAAAGAACACAAAGTTCTAGTAATTAAAATAGAGAGTCATATTATTCTCAAATAATGGATACCTGAGTTTCCTAGAGAGAGGAGCGAGAGAAATGAGGCCCAGCCCCTCATTCTTTTCTGTTTGTTCTCAGCGTCAGGGCAGAGCCAAGAGGAGAAGGAAAGGGGGAACATCGAGAGGTAAGGTTCTGCCTACTCCATGGGAGCTCTCCAAGGGTGACTGTTCCTGTCCTTGTCCTTCCCATGAGCTCTCAGCTCCATGATCTCTGAGGATGTTAGTCGCTAGACCCAGTCCCTCTCAGAAAACAGAGCCCTCAGGGGAGAGGCTCACAGGAAGGCAGTCAGAACCTGAGACACTTCTCAGATTCCCTGCTTGGCCCACCCCTGGGCGTGAAGCAGTGATGGACCTGGACAATGGGTGTTGCCCAGTAGGTGGCCATGGGAGATGTTGAGAGTCAGAACTTCTGTCTCCTGACCTTGTGCAAGTACTCTGACTTCCTGGATGATCAGACTCCTCTTTGAGGTAACCACTGACCTACACTCCTCACAGGGTGGTTTGGAACATCACATAGGGTACTGTATGTGAAAGTACTTTATAAATGAAGCAACATACACATGTGAACCTTGTTAATATTACCACTAACCATTTGACCCCATCTGCTGATTCCTGGGGCTTTCAGAGTCTAATATCCCAAGGGTCTCCCATAAAGGGACTCCTGTATAACACCTATACTTCTACTCACTCCATTTTTAACCCACTCTGCTGATTTCCCAGGTTGGAGCTACTGCCAGAGGGAAATAGAAGAGAAAAGGAAGCTGATTTCTATTCTGAAAAGGTGATTAGTCTTTCCCCTTCCTTCCTGAGCCCCCTTTAGCATGTTCTATGTAACTCCAGTGATTTGGTGCAGCCTGCAGTAGTCATGGGAGCGGGCAGCCATAGGAACGGCTTTCGGAATGAAGGCCTTGGGGTGAGGGCTACTGAGTGTATTGTGAAGTCACGGATGTGGGGGGATGTGAAGGGGCAGCAGGCTTCAGGTGGCCCCTCCCCTGCCAGGCCAGCAGGTCCTCCTTTCCTTGTTCTGGTCCTGGCTGCAGCTCTGTACCTCCTGTCTCCTGCAGCCCCTTGGGCCAGCATCACAACACCATCCGCGTTCGTCAACTCTTATGTCCAGACCCCTTCTGTGAGGTGTGTAATAACGCAACTGCTGAGGTCAATCGGCTGCTGTTCCTGGAGGACCTGGAAGACGATACTCCCTTTGTGTCCTCCATGGCTTCCACAGCTTCTGTGACTGAGTCATCGTTCACTGTGTCCTCTGCCTTCTCAGAAGTCCCTCTAGGAGACCTCATACCAGCCCCTCCGCCTGAGCCTTCCCCACGGCCCCCCTCCTTAGCTGAGTGTCTTTCACCCTCACCACCGGGTCACCATCTGCCACCAGAGCCTTTTCCTCCCTTGGATTCCAAATTCCCAGCAAGCCATTCCCCACCCCAACCCCTTGCCTTTCCCTCTCTCCCACCACAAGACACTCAGATGACAGATCCTGTTCTCCAACCAGAGGCCACTTTGTCTCTGCATACCATCTTCTCTCTTGACCCCACCCTTTCCCAAGATATCAACCCCTTACCAAATTTGTCCCAGACAATGAATCCCACTGATTCATTGGCTTCTCATCACGCACCACCGACCCTGTCTGTCTCACCACCACCAGACTGTGCTTTAACCGTGACTCAATCTAAATCGGTTTCCATCTTATTGAAGCCTATTCCAGAGAGCTCATCTCCAAATAGCCCTGGTTGGTTGTCCACTTGTGGCCCAACAATCAAAGGCACTGACCATTCAAGCCTGTCAATTTCAGAATTCTCCCGGTGGCAAGCTCATGCCAAAGACCTGTTCCCTTCCACCTTGCCACCATGTGATTTTCATCAGGAGTTTCTTGCCCTCCATTCTTCAGAGGCCTCTTTTGAGAGAGACCCTGCAGCCAACCTTATAGAGCCTGGTAACCTCTCGTTTCTCAGCCCTGATATCCGGGCACTCCTAGAGAGACAAGTCCAAAAGAGGAGTGACTTCCTGATGCGGAAGGAAAGGGACAAGGAAAGCGGTTCTTTTCCAAAAGAATTTGGGGCAGATGACCAGCTAAATTCTTCGGGGAAAATGTTAGAGTCAATTGCTGATAAGCATGACTCAGCCGTCTCCCTTCCTTTTTGGAGCGGCAAAGGCAAACCAAAGGAGTTGCACGTGCAACAGCAGCCCTCATATCCTAAAACCTTGGAGGACCATTTAGAGCAAAAACGTATCCAGCTCTTCTGGGGTCTCCCATCTCTGCACAGCGAGTCCTTCACCTCTGCTGTCCATGGGTCAGGTGACTCTTCCTCAATCTTCATTTTCAATACCATCTCGAATGCCTCCACAGACCATGAACCCCCAGTACCTCCCCATTCCCTACCTCTGTCCTTGCCTGAGATAGAGCCTCAACCCTTGCCTCAACCCCTGCCCCAATCTCAGCCCCTACCTCTCAGTCAGGACCAGCCCCAGGCCCACCTTCAATGCCCACTCCCAATCCTACCATCTGGTCCTCGACCCCAGATTAGGATCTGTGGAGTGTGCTTCCACAGACCCCAGAATGAACCAGAGTCTCTCAGCACATCTGAAATTCAACACCTGGAATGGAATGTGTTGCAGAAACAACAGGAAAGTTTGTGGGGTTTACCATCTGTGCTCCAAAGATCTCAGGAGGACTTCTGTCCTTCAGCTCCCAACTCAACTTGCTGCCGGGCCTCCCAGGCCCATGGTTCAGTCTCCATCCTTCCCGCAGAGTTTCCTCTCAGTGATGAGCTGCGGAAGAAACTAGACCATCACCTTCGAAAGAGGCTCATCCAACACCGGTGGGGCCTACCCCGCAGGATCCATGAGTCTCTGTCACTGATGATGCCTCCGACCAATTTTGCAGAGACATCTGAGTTGGAGAGCAGTCACGGACTCTCGTTGATCTCTGTGAACAAAAAGCTAAATGTTGGATTGAGCCAACCTGAAAGCTTCCATGAGAGGGGCTCAGAACTGCTTCAGCTAGAGAAGGACGTGGGGAAGGATCAGCAGCACAGCCCAGAGAATGGCTCCAAAGCTCATCTATTGAGCGACACAGAGACCTCTTCCCATAAGGATCTGGGCTATGACTCTGAGAAAGACCTAAGTAGTCACATGCCGAGTCTGTCAGGGAAAAACTCAGGGGCCTCAGCGGGGAATCTAGATCAGAAACAACTTCAAAATGTCCTGAAAGTACATCTGAGCAAGAAGTTTGAGGAAATCAGTGAGGGTCGGCTCCCTGGAACTGTGCATAGTTCACGGCATGCTATCAAGCAGACATTGCTGCTTTCTGACAAATCCCACACCCAAATAAAAAAGAGAAGTCTGCCACCATCACTGGGTGGGGACCACTCCCTGAATACCTTCCAGGAGCTTTCCTTCATTGATTCCAGAGCACAACAAATGCTGGAAGCCCATATTAAAAGGTTTCGTATGAGGATGCTGTGGGGCCTTCCCCGCAGGGTCCTTGAATCCATAGAGATCTTTAAACTGAAAGATGCCGCATCCCAGTCCCTGTCCCGTTCTCACTTTCCCTCCTCAACCAACCTGATTTCTGAGGTGGACTCCAAATCTGGGGGCTTCAAGCCCCTCAGAGGAAGTTCTAAATCTCTTCGTGGAGAAAAAGTAGGAACAACAATTTCAGCCCCAGTCCTGGGTCGTCCTCTCCCAGCCACCTCACCTGTGGGCAGGGAAGGACCGGGGACCCTGGGACAATCACCCTCTGGTATCAACCAAGAGCTTGCAGAGGATGTTCAGAGAAGTAAAGGTGCCAGACAGACTCTCCAGCCTGTCACACACGGCATCACACGCAAAGCAAGTCAGAGACAGACTCGACTGTATGACAGACACCCCCCAAAGCTGCCCGCAAGGCAAGCCGAGGTCGGACATGTGCCAAAGGATAACAGAGTGAGTTCCAGTGATAGAGCAGAAATGCGACAGGGCAAAAAGATGGAGAAGAAGTCAGAACCTCTCTCTGTGCCCAACGTGTCCAGGGAGATATTCAGGGCCAAGGAGCTCAATGCTCTTCAATCGAAAACTGGTAACATCCTGACAACCAGCAAGCCAGGAAGCTCCCAAATGATAAATGCGAATGAGAAGGAAGTAGAAATTACTGTGACCACTGAAAGCCCCTTGCCAAAAACATCAGTTCCCCGAGATCCTACATCATCAGACCTTAAAGAACAGCTGTTGAGAGAATTAAAGTCTAAACTGGAGAAGAGGGAGCAGAGCCAGGCCCAAGGCCAACCCACTGACAGGCCCCTTGCCTCAGAGAGCTTGACTGACAAGGCCTCACTGACTCATACCCAGGGTGTCTCCAGTGGGGACACGTGCGCTTCCCAGGTGCTGCATGTCCATCTGGAGGACAGAGGAATCAGCTTGGAGCAGCGGCAGGAGAGCTGGGTCCCTAAACATGTCTTAAGGAGGTGCCACGATGAGAATTTCCCACCAGCTGCAGAGAGAGTGAGCCCTACAAGGCCCAAAGCAGAAGAGCGTGGTGGAGGGGATGCAGGGTTGGGGACATCCCAACGTAGAAGGAAGAGTTTGCCTACTCAGGACATGCCACTAGAGGAGACGCTTGGGAGCAAGTCTTCCCAGATCCCATCACAGAAGGGACAGCCTCCTCCTGAGAGCCTCTTCAGGAAAAAAATGAACCACTTTTTGCAATGGCTTCATCCCGGGATAGAAGGCAAAAGGCAAGAAAATTCCCAGGGAAAGGGCAGCCCCATATCATCTGCACAGAGCAGAGGTCTAATTACAAGGAGAGCTGCTGTTACTGGGACAACCACAGCTCAGAAGACCATGACAGACGCTGGGAAGTTCCCAGAGGAGAAACTGGGGCGTAGGCATGTGATAGATACCACCTGCCCTCAAGGGCCCCTTCCCTCCCCGAGGAAGTCTGGGAAAACTCAGCAGAAGGCAGAAGCACAGGGCAGGGCAGAGCCTGTCCAGGGGCATCCTTCCAACTACAGGGTTCCCTCCTGCAAAGCAACAAACACCAAGTCCTGCCGCCAGGAAGCTCTCACTGGCAGCCAGAGTTATCCTATAAGCGTTAGACGGAGCAGAGACGAGGACAGACACCCCCTGAAAACTGTGAAAGATCCGCAATGGGGTCAGAAACCTCCCTCATCCGTGCCCCCCAGGGAGCTTGTGCCCCACCCAAACCCCACCTGCAGGCATCAAGCTGGCCAGGGGCCTCCGGTCGCTCTCACCTCTGATGAAGGCACTGTGTTCAGAGATCTGTCTCTGCTATTTCAACAGAAAATGCTTCTCCAGCATTTCCAGACAGGAAAATTTCCCACCCCAAAATAATTCCTTCCTTGGGGAGAATACTCATTCTCCCCAATAAATGATCCTCTAATAATAGTTAAGTCTTCTCTGTGTATTGTGTTGGGGGCATGGGTTTTGGATAGCTCAGGACTCATGCTTAGGGAAAGGAGTTAGTTAGTTCAGCTCTTACTAATTGCTTCCTTTGGCTTCTAAAAGGTGGCCAGTCTCCCGGAGCTGTTGTGGAGAAATTGATATCACGTGCCCCCCCAAAGCCCATTTCCTCCCTGATGAAGTCTGAGATGGGCTCTGTTTCCTGCCTCTTAGCTTAGCCTTAATAAAAATGTAGGGGCCGGCCGAGTGGCACAGCAGTTAAGTTCACGAGTTTTGCTTTGGCAGCCCGGAGTTTGCCGGTTCGGATCCTGGGCGCGGACCTACTCACCGCTCATCAAGCCATGCTGAGGCAGCATCCCACATAGAAGAAATACAAGGACCTACAGCTAGGATATACAACTATGTACTGGGGGCTTTGGGGAGAAAAAGAAAAAAAGGGAGGAAGATTAGCAACAGATGTTAGCTCAGGGCCAATCTCCTCAAAAAAAAAAAAAAAAAAAAAAGAAAGAAAGTAGAGCAGCCCACACCTTGCCCTCATTAAATGTTTTCTATCCTCAGAGCAGTAGGGAAGACAGGTCTTCTATACCTGAAGAGGGTCAAGGACAGGTAGATTTTTCAGAAAATAATGTGAAGAAGAAACTGGCTTCATCATGATTTAGAGGTCGGTGACCAGAGGACCCCAGAGGTGGGTGAACCCTGGATGGGAGTGTTTGGCAAGGGTGGGTATTGCTGCAGTGGATCCTGGGCTGGTGGGGCAGGGGCTAGGAACAGCATAGATGCTGCTTAAGAATCTGTCATATGGGTCATGGCAATGTGTTGGGGAAGCACACTTGAGACTTGACACTGAGGTTTCCCTGCTGGAAATCCACCTGGGGCAAGTGGTTCCCCTTGCCGGGTATTTCTTCAGGCTGCAGAGTGACAACATTTTGTTGCAGAGCAAAAGCATCACTCAGCTGCCAGTGGTAGCAATGTTGACCAGGCAGCCACCTACCTCCCAGGGAAAAATAAAGCTGAGAGTAAGGAAAAGATGCCTTAGAGGGAGTGGGGAGGGAAGAAAAAATGAAGAGGGGAAAGAGTGACCCTGCTGGTGGAACAAAGGTTTATGCCACGTCATCCATATTGTGAGCCTGTCCTGCTCCCCCGCGTCCTCAATCTGATCCAGGCTCTACCTCCTTGAGGCTGATCTGAGCACGCACAGCACACCGATGCCTTATACCAAAAGGCACAGGGCTGTTCTTTGGGTACTGAAACAATATCTGCAGGCATGGCATCTCCCTCTTAGGGAAAGGTGATCTTGGTGCTTTCCTTCCATCCATGCTGGATGCAAATATACAAGATCTTGCCCTTAGTGTGTACAGTTCACCTATCAGGATGGAGGTGCCACCTTTGACGTTCATGGCCTCGGTGGAGCCATGGTAGGTCTCCCACAGAACACCTGCAGCTCGTGAACCAGAGGTGAGTCCTAGACTATGCACCAGGTTACAGATATCTGGGGGGCTCCCCATGGACTGCACACATACCCACCCTTACAATAGGGGTCTGGAGGGAAGGCCACTCCACTGTACAGAATGGGACTCACATATGGGGTGAGTATCCTAGAGAGCACTTGAGGTCGTTTTTCCAGAAAGACTTGTGAACGCCGGGTGTTAAAACAAAAAACAAAAACAAAACCGATGTCCCCCATAGCCCTCTCTCACTCCCACACTTTATCTTCTTGCACAGAGTTATGCCATTGACCCTACAATATCTTCTTGTCCAGAGTTATGCCAATGACCCTACAATGTCTGAAGCTTGGGGTCAAAGAAAGAATGCAGATGCTGTGGAGGCCCTGGGAGGGACAATAGGTGGGATGGGGCCCAGGGTAGGGAACCTGAGGAGGTGAGGAGGCCGTGGAGGCTCTAACATCCACGTGGGTGGACCAGCCACTAGCCCAGCCTCTCAGTTTCTACATCATCTCATCTTAGGGTCCTCTACTTCCACTCCAGTGCAGTTACTGCCACACTCCAGAGCTTATCACCAGGATCGCTTCTGCCATCTGGATTAATACGGTCTGACATTCCACCCTTTGGCCTCATCCCCCAGTTCATATGCCCCTTGTTAATTTTTCAACTCCAAGCCATTCATTTTTCCACTTACTCCTCGTCTATCCACCAAGCTCTTGTCTTCATTTCCTCCCTCTCCAAGGCAGACTTGATGGTCTATTAGGTAAACAACATTTTAAAAGCTTCACCACAAATGGGCCCCATCTAATCCCCTTTAATCCTTCCTGTCTGCCAAAATCCCATCTCTCTGCCTTTTCCAGGAACGACTTCCTATAAGTAACTGATCAATACTGGATTAAATCTCACCATCGAGTCTACTGGTGCCACGAGAAATTCGGCCCCAGCACTACGAGGAAATCATTCACTTATTCGACAATTAATTACCCCATGCTTACTAACATGTGAACAACAAAACAAACGGAGCTTAGGTCACTGTTTTCTTAGGCCATTCTCTCTCTGATGCTACTCAAATTTATTTCAAATCTCCTTCACTTTCCTCAAACTTAGGCCGTCCCCACTGCTCAGCACATGTCCTGGACCACCACTCACAGAGGAGCCAGAAGCCATGAGATGGGAACTTTCCATCAAAAAATCTTCACAAAAACACTTTCCCGTTCCTCCTTTCCTGTTATATGAAAAGAGGTTTCCTCCTAACCTCAAAGGAATTGCACTTCCTGAAGTGTCCTTTTTGAGAGAGAGCTAAACCCTGGTCTTGATGGACTGAGCCCCCTTGCCAGGTATCCTCTCGGTCCCTCCCTCTCCTTATAGGCATGCAACTATTACTGTTTTAAGCTTTCAATTACAGAAATGTTTAAACATGCACAAGAACAGTGTAACTTCCCACGTACCCCTCATCCAGCTTTCCGTTATCATCTGGCACCTGTGATACGTCCCATCTCCTACACCACGGTTAAAGGGCAAAAGCCCATTGGGACATCCTGCCATCCGTCTCTCAGACGTATGCTTTGTGCCCATATCACAGCTCTCACACTTCCTTGATATTCACTACCTGTGGAGCACACTGATCCACAGCAGATGGACACAGCATCGGTGACGAAAAGCCTTAGAGGCTTTGGCCATCAGTTCTGCTCTGCCCTGTAGTCAAGCCTGAGGAATCATTTTAGTGGATTCCTCCTCCCTCAACCCACACAGAAAATAATCCTACTGAGCAAATTCAGTGCACAGTGTTGCAGTCCCTTAATCACACACTAACTACAGCACGCAACAAGTACAGAAGTAGACAACGGTACACGTTGAGAAGGACTTCACATCACTATATGTTTTCAAATATTTAGAAGACAATTGGCTTCCTGTCATACATTTTAAAACGAGCTATTGTGTTTCGAGTTAAACACAGTAGATCAAACACACTTGTCTATTTCCCCTCCTTCCCCAAATGCCATCAACAGATTGGATGAAAAGATGCTCAACATCATTAGTCATCAGGGAAATGCAAACCAAAACCACTAGGAGACAGCACTTCACATACACAGGGAGGGCTAGAATCAAAAAGTCAGATAATAACGAGTGTTGTTGAGAACGTGGAGAAACTGGAACCATCATACGCTGCTGGTGGGAATGAAAAACAGTGCAGCTGTTCTGGAAGACAGTCTGGCAGTTCCTCAAAAGTTAAACATAGAGTTACCATAAGACCTAGCAATTCCACTTCTAGGTATATACTCAAGAGAAATGAAAACATATGCCCACACAAAAACTTATCCACAAATGTCCACGGCAGTATTATTTATAATAGTCAAAGGGTGGAAACAACCTAAACGCCCATCAAGTGATGAATGAGTACATAAAATACGGTATATCCACACAATGTAATAATTTTTGGCAATAAAAAGTACTGATCCATGCTACAACATGCATAAAACTTGAAAACATTGTGCTAAGTCAAAGCGGCCAGTCACAAATAACCTCATATGATCCCATTCATACAAAATATCCAGAATAGGGAAATCTAGAGAGACAGAAAGTAGACTAGTGGTTGCTTAGGGCTGGGGGGATGAGGGGAGAGGGCAATGATAGCTAAAGGTTGTGGGGTTTCTTTTTGAAGTCAGGAAAAGGTTTTAAAATTGACTGTGGTGACAGTTACACGTCTGTGAGTATGCTAAAAATCACGGAATTATACACTTTAAATGGGTGAATTGTATAGTATGCGAACTATATTTCAATAAAGCTGTTAAAACCAGTAAAGGATTTAAAAAGAATAAGGCACTTGAGGATGACAAGAAGGGGAGAAGATATGACAAAAGATGTCAACACATTTTTGGAAAATGGAAATCCGGTGGAGGACTGGCCCAGTCCCTAAACCCACATGAGTTTGATCTTGCAGGCTGTGGTCCAGCACAATTGCTCCGTAAAATAATGGAAAAATTTAAAATGTTGCTGGGAAGGGCAGATTTGGCAGAGAAGACAAAGAGGGACCAGCAGAGTGAGACACTGTATGGGTGGAGGGGGCTAGATTTGAGAACCCTTAGGGGCTAAATAGCCTAAGAGGAACTTGGGGAAAAAAAGAATCACTAAAGATTTTTAAGCTGTTTGCCATGGGTCCATGGGTGTGCCATGCCCTTATCTCCCTCTTTCTCATGCTTTCTGTTCGTTGGTACAGGCTACTCTGCTCTCTCATGCTTTCTGGTGAAACTGGATTCTTTTGAGGAGCTATGGGGGGTGGGGCTGCTGCTGAGTATATTTCTGGTTTCATACAGGTAAAAACACATTATGTATGAGGGGAAGCTGTAGTTGATGGCAGAGGAGATCTTGTGGGTGTAAATCCCTGGGCACAGCCAACTTTCAAAGATGATGTGGGGTCCGAAAGGAGATCACCAAGCAGTAAAAGGGTCTCAGGCAATATCTGGGTAACAGAATAAACAGAAAACTTCAGGTAAATATATGC